GGTCCCACATGTCCCGAGGGCATTAACGTACACTGAGCACCAGTATCAACCAAAACCCGATATTTCTGTGGGTCTGACGTGCCAGGCCATCTGATCCACACAGTCCAATAGACACGGTTGTCCCGTGCCTCTACCTGGCTAGAGGCAGGGCCCCTCTAACATTCGTCTTCATCCTGCCAGTCACCGTTTTCCTCTTGTGAATGTCGACGGGAGGTGCCCTCTAGCGAGTCAGATTCCTGCCCGCAGGATACTGGTACAGCACTCACTTTTGCAGACTTCCCTTTTCCTTTCTCTTTCAACTCTTGTACTCGGGCTGCTAGGGCCCAGGTAGGTTTCCTGTCCCACCGTCTCATGTCTTCTCCATGGTCAGTTAGGAAGTACCACAACTCAGTTCGTGAGGTCTGTCCGTTCTCTCTAGCTGGGGGGCGTCTGGTTCTCACTGGGGCCATATGGAAGTTGTTTCCCTCAATCCTCTCTTTCAACCCTGTAGTTAATTCTTTGAACTCATTAATCATTGTCTCTACGGAGGAGATGCGGGCCTGTATCGGTCCTTCGATCATACTGTCATACAACCGAAGTTTATTTATTACAGACATCACTGGCTCCCGCTTCTCTCCGGCCTGCAATGATGTCAGGTAACCTTTGTGTGTGGACGACCCCATACGTGTGAAGCTCCACCACATCTGTTGTGTACACTTAACCTTGTCAGGATCGTTGGTAGGTTGCCCATTCCCTCCAAACAATACTTCCAGCAGTGCCATTTCTCTCAGCCGTAGGATTCCTTCTTCTATGGTCTTCCAGCTCTTGGTGTAATGATCTGCCTGCAAGGAATCTCTGTAAATGAACCTCTCCCTCACACCGTCTAAAAACCGTGGCCAGAGGGACAGGGACTTCGATTCCCTCACAAACACCTCCTCAATACCCACATCTTGGGCAATAGATCTCAGGAACCTCGCTTCACCGCCATCAAGATTTACTGCATCACCTGTAGAGTCCCAAACTCGGATCATCCAGGCCAGAACGGGCTCACTCGGACGACGAGCAACATCTGTCCGTTAATTCCGGAGGTTATTATACGATAGAGACTCAGTGATGATTTCTGGCTCTGGAGCAGCCGCTTGTGAGGACCCAGCTCTCCATCATCGTCAACTGGGCGAGCTGATTTGGCTTTATATTTCTTCCTTTGGATAGGGGCAACCTCCGTTGGCTTAGTCTCCCCCTTAGTTTTGGCCTTATCCTGAATCACCTTGGTATCAGGCATCTTGTTCTCATCTTTTCCTTTCCCCTGGAAATGCTGCACCATACCAAGCAACTTCCTGTAGGCAATGACCAAGGCCCCACATTCAGCTGCCAACTGCCTCTCCATGGATCTGTTACGACCCGCCCCAGGAAAAGGGGAGAGGGGGGTAACTCAGGTTCCATCAAAAATTCCTTTGGGGTGGATTACAGCGAAACAACACTAAATAATCGGTGTATGAAAACATATATGGATAAGATTTATTTTAACAATTTTGAATCAGTAGGTAAGTTAACATTTTTCGGGTGCTGTAACCTTTCTAGGGAGGAGAAAAATGCATAGGGGAGAGAAAGACAGGGTGAGAGTAAGGGAGAGCAAGAAAAAAAAGAAGATGAGATAATCACCGCCCACTGGATCCAGCGATGTCTTGATCCGCAGGCGGTGGGGGGAGAAGGAAAAGCAAAAACCCCCGCCAAAACCCCAAAGTCACCAGTCAAAATCCATATATTTAGCACCTCCCCCAGGGCGGGGAGCCGTCCCCATAGGTTGGCGTCCCCCTTTTTTGGCGCGGAGTCCACGAGGAGGGCGTGGCAAACTCAGCTCTTCCCGCCTTTTCGGGTCTTGACATCTTCTGCACTGAAGGAGGGGGGGGGATGGGCCCAGTTGCCCACCAGAAAGTCAAAAGCCTGTAGAAGTCTCCCAGAATGCATAAATCATTAACTGTTTCAGTCTCTGACACCACCCCGTGATTTATGCATTCAATGATTTTTTTTCTTCTCTGTGAATCTTCTTTGTGGGCGGTGCTTCTCGTAACAGGAAGACAGAAGAGTAAAGGAAAGGAAGAGATAGCCCCAATGCACTGCAATTCTCCTCTCTCAAAAAAACAACTTTATAATAAAATAGTAAGCTAATTTGTATTAGCTACTCTCTCTCCACCCCGTGAGTAATCAGGGTGAGTAATAGGCTACAATCAAATTTCTTAACATTAATAAGGTTACTTGGGAGCTGGTAAAAGGCTTTCTTATGTTCTCTTTGGGCCTAAATTTAGTTCTATTTGTTAAATTTAACCAAATATGAAATTCAATGCCTCTCAAGGCAGAGGGCTAACGTATATAATACATATTTGTATGATTTCAAATATGCATGAATACTTGTACTAACTCCCAGGTTATATTTGGTTGAGTTTAGATATTTAAAAAGACAAAATAAACTTGGCAATAATTAAACTAACAATACATCTCAGGAAAACTACACAAACAAGTTAACAATCCTTAATACAAGTAATTTTGGGAGTAGGGGAACACAAACACAATGTTTGTGGTAGGTTCAAAACTATTAGGATCATGACATTTTTAAGATAAAACACATGCAAACAACCAATGTGGTAAAAAAAACAGTATAACTCTTCAGTTCTGTTGTCACTTCATGTTGTCATAGGATAATGAGAACTAATGATAACAGCAGTAGAAGGCTTTATCGGTATCATGTGGTGTGATCTCTTCTGCTGGTAGGTTTCTGCAAAAAGAACAAATCTGGCCCATTGCAGACCAATTGTTAAAAAGAAGGAAGAATCCATCGAGTGTTTATTCGATGGTCCTTCTCGTGAGCATCTGTGGCTACCCATGTATGAGGGTTAACCGGGGTTTTCAGAGTGAGTGGCACTTGTCCCACAGAGGGTAGATTTACTAATACGGGTTGGCCTGGATAATGGAGTGGTTTTACAGGATCTTTACTTTTGTTTTCCCTCAGTACAATAGTGGGGGGTTCGGGGCAGAATGCTGTAATTCGAGGGCAACCGTTTATTCCCCATCGGCTATTGATTTTGGTTACTGCATCAGAAACTCTGGAGGCCCATTCAGGGTTATGAGGTTTTATGGCTCGCTTTAGGAGCCCATTGGTACGTTCCACAATACCATTTGCTTGTGGATAATATGGAGTGTGGAAGGTCCATTGAATTCCCTCTTCTCGGGCCCATTCTTGTACCACCCCGGCAGTGAAATGGCTCCCATTGTCTGATTGGATAGACTTTGGTTTGGGTAGATAACTGAACCATAGCTTTAGAGTTTTCACAGTATTCTCTCCCGTGGCTCGTCGCACAGCTTCAGCCAGGGTTAATCCTGATATTATCTCTACCCCAACCAGGATGTATTGTTTTCCATAAGAAATTCTGAAAGGACCAATGTAGTCTACCTGCCAGGTATCCCACAATCCCTTATTATCCCTCAGGTGCAGGGGTGGATCTTTCAGTGGATCATGATCTTTCAACCTGGTGCGGCATAGACTACAGGCAGAGATCACTGTGTTGCACAGCTCCCTGGTAACTGGCCACCCTCTACTGATTGCTTCTTTAAACAGATCTCTGTTTCCTGAGTGGTCTCTTTTTACATGTAACCATTCTAACAGACGTTCCCAATTTTGTCCCTCTCCCTCTATTGTTATCTTAGCTAACCGTGTCAGTGAGTCTACTTGATTGTTTAACAGATGAGCGGGGTTGTTATCTGTTTGGTGTGCAGCAACCCATCCCACAAGGAATGTTTTTTGTTTAGCTATGTTTAGGATCTCTTTCCATTTTTCTTGTTGCCACACTGATATTTGATTCACTTCCCATTGATTTTGTTCCCAAAAAGGGAGCCATTCTGTACATCCTTTGAATACTGCATAGGAATCTGTGTAAATGTATGTGTCTCCTTCAGTGTCTGCTTCTCTGGTAAATACACTCCATACTGCTACTAACTCCCCGACCTGAGCACTCCCTTCTCCTTCTGTCACTACCCTGTCCCCTGAATCAACATGTAGGGCCACGGCTCGATATTTCCACACTTTTCCTTCTCGTCTGGCAGAAGCATCTGTAAACCAAACATTTTTTAAGTGAGGTTCAAAAGCGGGAGCAGGTTTTATACAGGAAGGAGGAGGGTTTGAATCAGGTAGCTTACAAGATTGTTCTTGTATTTGGAGTATTTTTGGAGCTCCTTCAGTTATTTGACGAGAGTGATAGTAATGATCAATTTGTGCATACCATCTCCGGACTGTTTCTCTCTGAGCTACCCCTGCAGGAGGGGGGGTTCCAGATATCACTGGCTTTAAAACCTTAAAAGGCCCTCGCAGGATGATTGATTGGTGTCGAATTGTCTTCTCTGCTTCCTGCAGGGCTAAACAGACCACAAACAGGCCTTTTTCCCAAGCAGAGTATCGTTTTTCAGCATCTTTTAGGCTGCGAGAAAGAAAACCAATGGGGCGAGTGGGACCTTCAGGTCCCCGCTGCCACATATGTATGGACAGACTGTGGATTGCAAATCCCCATTCAATTTGGAGTGGATCTGTGGGATGTATGGGCCCCAGAGTTTGGTATACATTAGCTTCAAAGATTAGTAATTTCAGGGCTTCTTCATGCATGGGGGTCCACTCCCATGTTGTTTTTTTTCGTGTCAGGTCATACAGGGGACGAGCAATAATGGAGAAATCTGGCACATGTTTCCTCCAAAAAACCAGCAAACCTAAAACATGCTGGAGCTCTCTTTTACTCTCTGGCATCTTTACTTGCTCTAGGGTGTTTAAGGTTTCAGGAGGGATGCACACTGCTCCTCCTTTCCACCATATACCTAGGAATTTTACTTCGGAGGAGGCAAGCTGTACCTTTTCTGTGGGAATTTGAAGCCCCAGACTTTCTAGGTGAGTGATAATATTTTTCTGGGTCTGGCTCACTGGTATGACATCGGAGCCACCAATTAATATGTCATCAATATACTGATATACTTTAGTTCCTTCTTCAGGAGTAATTTGAGCCAGCTCCTGTGCGAGTGCATGATGGGCCAGGGTAGGGGAGTGTCGGTATCCCTGAGGTAGGCGAGTAAAGGTATACTGATTACCCTCCCAGGTAAAAGCAAAACGATCTTGGTCTGCCTCCTGTAAGGGAACCATAAAAAACATATCTTTGACATCAATAGTTGCAAGAATTGGATGGGCCTGCTCCTGAATTGTAGCAATCAGCTCAGCTATGTTTGGTACTGCAGCTGTCAGGGGGCCACTGTTAGAGTTGAGCCGTCGATAATCTACTGTGAGCCTCCAATTTCCGTTAGGTTTGCGAACAGGCCATACCGGCGAATTGTATGGTGAGTGTGTAGGGACAACCACTCCTTGCTCCTGCAGTTCTGCAATTACTGGAGCAATTCCTTCACGTGCCCCTAAAGGGAGTGGGTAGGGTTTTACGTTTGTTATTTTGGAAGGAGGCAGACTTGGAGCGGTTTGTAACAGACGGACAGAGAGGGATGGGAGACCAAACACCCATTCTCTCCCTCTGGCATCTGTCCAGGCTCGACCCTTTAATAAATCTAACCCCAGGATGTTAGCTGGTAGTGGCCCCACAATCATGGTAGTTTCTGTGGCTGTCTCATCTCCCGGTAACCAGCATTTTACTCGAGCAGTGTATTGGGGTTGGGATTTGCCAAAGGCATCGGTTACCCATATTTTTTTTTGTCTGGCTTAATGCCACACTGGGTAGCAGCTTCAGTTTGGAGTGCTGAGACCTGTGCACCCGTGTCCACCAGGAATGTAACCAAAGATTTAAAAGGGCCGAGAGGAAAAGTGATCACCATATCTCCCTGGTTGTTTTCTGTGAGCCTTCTCATATAAACCCACTGACCGCTCCCCGGCTCACTTAATGGGAGCGGCGAGTCCCGTTTCCCAGCTCGGGATTGGTTAAACTGATTTCTGGTGGAGCTGAGGGAACCACAGTGTTGGATTCCTGGGGAGGGTTGCCCCCAGGGGGTGACTCACGCTCTTTGATCTTATCCCACTGCTTTATCAAGTGTTCCAAATTAGCTGTGGGTAGTTTATCCATCACTTCTCGAGGAATTCCTTTCTCGACACCCTCCACCCACAAACTGTACCTTGTTCGCTCACTGGGTGTTGCACTTTGCTGACGATTACCTGGCAAAGGTGATTTTCGGATCTCTCCTACCCTTCTGATATCTGTTTTTTGCTTAACACTACTTGTATCAGAGACCCCCAACTGTCGACCAGTAGTTACCAATTCTTGGGCTACCTCTAACCAGGTCATCCCCAGTGGAGCACCCCTTCTTCTGGGGGTTGTCATTATGCGCTCTTGTAGTTGTTTAGCATGAGTTTTTAGTGCATCAGGCAGGCCTCTTATCAGGGCAGGAAATCTTTGTGGATCCGCTTCGAGTTCCATAGGGGAATGCCGCTGCGAGTCCAACAGTCTTGTATGGATTAATTGGAGGCATGCAGCTTTTTGTACGCTTTCGACAATGTGGCCAATTGTGGGGGTTTTAATTGTATGAGGATCTCCCCTTTCGATAGGGTCTAACCCGCCTGCCCAGTAGGCAGCTCTCTGGGTCAGCGGCCACGGGGCTCGGTTATCATTTGTGGTCAGGAAGACCCCTGGGCCCCAAAATCCTCTGGCCTCATCCTCACTTAACAAAATCCGATCTCCCCCAGTAAGGGACACCCTCCACACATATTCAGTCTCTGATTCACTGGCCTTACGACTGTATTTTTCCTGAATTTTGGCCAGTGCTTCCCCCGTGTACGGGGTAATTCGTGTGGTAGTTTGCCGATCTGCCCCCTGGCCAGTGGTTTCAGTTTTAATGAGGGGACGCATATGTATTGCCTCGTCCTCCGGGTAACTTTGCTTCAACTCTTCTAATTCCCCAGAGGGGTACAGGGATTTGTTAACATCTACCGGTTTAGGGTATTTTGAACTAATGTCTCGCAATTCACAATTTTTCATTTCCAGTATCTTCTTAAGCCTTTCATTTTGTTTCTCCTCATCTTGCAGAGCTGATCGAAGCAATGAGTTAATCTCTCTCTCCTTCTCCAGTGCCTGTCGTTCAGCAGTTAACTGCTGGCGTTCTTTTCCTAATTGCTCCTGTAATGCCTTCATTGTCTCTTGAAGAGACCTTATCACCTCACCGGTAGATTTTTGAATAGCCTCTTTTTCTAGCTGGTCCTGCAAAGTTCTCATTGACTCTTGGAAAGATTTTATCACTTCACTTACAGATTTCTGAATAGCTGATTTTTGCTTTTGCACTGCTCTAAGGAACACGCCTAAGACAGCACCCACAAAAAACAGTTCTAAACCAAGGATAGCTATCAGGAGGGAATAATCCCCATATAACTCAACCTGGGGTGTCATCCCCTTTGCCTCAGTCATTAACCCAGCTTAGGTTAATGTCTTTCTCCCCCTTAACCCTCTGAGGGCTGGTTTGACTCTCTCCTGGAAAACCTTTCAACAGGTCCAGGTACCAGAGAACCTTTCAACAGGTCCAGGCCACACCAGGAAACCTTTCAACAGGTCTGATGTGCCCGGGTCACACCGAGAGGAGAAAAATTCTCACTATAATTTTACAGCGAGGGGACGGTCACCATTTGACTCGCCCTCGGTATCAGTTTTAGAATACACCGATTACTCCACCACATCCAAAGGATCCTGCCGACTACGCCAAAAATGTTACGACCCGCCCCAGGAAAAGGGGAGAGGGGGGTAACTCAGGTTCCATCAAAAATTCCTCTGGGGTGGATTACAGCGAAACAACACTAAATAATCGGTGTATGAAAACATATATGGATAAGATTTATTTTAACAATTTTGAATCAGTAGGTAAGTTAACATTTTCGGGTGCTGTAACCTTTCTAGGGAGGAGAAAAATGCATAGGGGAGAGAAAGACAGGGTGAGAGTAAGGGAGAGCAAGAAAAAAAAGAAGATGAGATAATCACCGCCCACTGGATCCAGCGATGTCTTGATCCGCAGGCGGTGGGGGGAGAAGGAAAAGCAAAAACCCCCGCCAAAACCCCAAAGTCACCAGTCAAAATTCACATACTTAGCACCTCCCCCAGGGCGGGGAGCCGTCCCCATAGGTTGGCGTCCCCTTTTTTTGGCGCGGAGTCCACGAGGAGGGCGTGGCAAACTCAGCTCTTCCCGCCTTTTCGGGTCTTGACATCTTCTGCACTGAAGGAGGGGGGGGGGATGGGCCCAGTTGCCCACCAGAAAGTCAAAAGCCTGTAGAAGTCTCCCAGAATGCATAAATCATTAACTGTTTCAGTCTCTGACAGCTTGTCACTACTTAAATTCAAGCTGTCAAATTTTATGATATTATGAGAGCTCCTTGCACCACTTGGTTCAAAGTGTAAACATAGTAAATATATATTGATATATGAAATGGAATTATCCAAACTCTGCAACAGAGGGGCATTATAAGCAGTGCACAAGCCGTGCAGGATAAAATCCTGACTCTGTCAAAGTTGATGGGTATTTGCTAAGCAGTAGAACCGAGATATCACCAAGGGTATGTAAAGAATATCTGACAATCTGGTCTGCAGGAGGTGGTACTTGCTTGGGTGTGGAGCTTCATGACTGCTGCCATTTTACAAGAGCAGAATCTAAGTTTTCTCAGGATGGCTGTTGAATGGTAAACCCAGAAATAAAATTCTGCAGTCCATCTCCAAAGAGCACCACCAAGACCTTCCTGTCGCCTGCTCATGGGATATTTTCTATTGCTTAACATCCTTGGTTATTGATTAGAAGTCTCCATGGAGGAGAACCAAAGACGGTTCAATCTTCTCTAAAATGATGATTGAGAGGTGAATGGGGGTGAAGGGAGGTGAGGGAAACTGATAAATAGTTCTGAATATAACACTTTAGGCTAAGCCACCAAATGCCTAATTAACATTTTAAAGGAAAAGAGTTGCCCTCCAGGTGAGAAGAAGGGATGCTAAATTATTTTGAAAAATTCAGGTGTCAGGCAAGAATGGGGAAGATTTACATGTTAATGGGATCCTCAGCAGGGGAAGAAGCCTTGGTGTGGTGATGGCAGACAAATAGATGCACCCATCTGCACCTTCAGATGTTATCACACAAGTTTGAGTAGTCAAAATTTGACAAAAATAAAAATGAGCAAAGATTAATGGTTGGAAGAGACCGACCTGTGAAAGAACCTCATGCTACTCTGGAAACCTTTCTATAGAACAGGCCTTCCCACCTGGCCTGACAACACAGCCTTGTCTGCTTTAATTTAAGACATAACCTTGTCTGCTTTAATGCATGCAGAGTTTGGGGGCTGACAGCTCAGAGCTGGGCACTGGGGAGGGCACTGGTCTCTGTGAACCTGAAAAGAAGCGACAGAGACCAGGAACATTTCTGATGGGACGTGACACACACAGCTGAGCCCAGCTGAGATCACTGTAACTAAATTGTAGGAGAGTGCTTAATCTGGTTAGGCTCTGTTTTAGACCTCAAACCAGATGATTTTCTTCCTTTTCATTTTGTATGTTTTTTCTTTCAAATTTTTGTAGTTTTTTTTTCTCCCCCAGTTAGAGCTCTTCAGAGCGAGTCAGGTTTTACAGTGAACTAAGGCAGCTCTCCCATACCATCTCTTGAAAAGACATACCTTGTCCTCAAGTGGCCTGTAACAGGAATATATATCTTCATTTTATAAGTTTATCAAATTTCTGACTCCTATTTATTTTAATAAACTTTGAATTAAATTGCTGCTGGTAGCAGATATGAATAGCAATAAGGCACTCTGCTGTCATCTTTTTGCTGAAAAATATTTTACATGCAGGATCCAATAGCCATGGCAATAGCTTCCCCCCCACCCCCCTGTGTTAATATGCAGGGCCTAGTAAGCTTGCTAAACAGTTCTGCAGAATTATCTGCCACGGCTAATTCAGGCTGGGCGAGGCATTTGGGCCTGCGGAGAAGCTTTTAAAGATGTCAAGCATTTTATAAATCAGATAATTTTCCTTGGTCAGTAAAAGCCGTGGAGCTGCAGTCTCTGGGCAGACTGAGCTCCTCAATTGAGATGTTAAACTTTGTTTCCTTTCAGGAGGAGTATGAGTCAGCTCCAGGCGAATCTAAGCATTATAGCGGAACTAAAACAAACATAAAGTGGAACAAATCCTAAATATATTTGCATCTAGATTTTGGCAGACATTGTTATGGCTTTCTGTATTTTATGTGCCTTTTTCATTTCCCCGTGAAATATTTTTTGGTAAACTTATAAGGTTTTTAAACCGCTTTAAGTTGTTGACTCTTCCACTTATGCTAATGATGTCTCTTGCTCCACTACTTTAAAGTGAGAGAAATGACTTACAGCTTTGCCTCTGCCTTGCCTGGGCATGTGCTAGCAAGAATTTGTGCTCTTGAGAAGGCAAAACCATAAAGAAAGGGGGAAAAAAAAGCAGTGGATTATTTCTCTTAGTCTGCGAGGATGTATAACATCAGAGTGAGGTTTTTGGAGACTTCTGTGGTTGAAATCTTACATTTAGCTTCACTGTAAGTGGGACAGGTTCCTAGCTGAAAATAGAAACCTATCCTGACCTTGTGCACATTCTCACTAAAAACCCCAATAAAATAATAAAAAATTGTAGGAGCTCATGTGGTTTGTATGCATAACAATATAGACATTAATTCAAAAGTGAGTTAAGATAGCTGAAGTACTGCTCCCACCTTATCTTTCTCCTTGTTTAGCTGCCCCAGCAGCACAGGCAGCAAACTCAATCTGTGGATGGGATTTTGAATGAGTTTGAACTGACACTAAATTGAACCTAACCTTTGAATAGGCCTGGAGCTGGTAAGAAGAGCTCCATTCTGTCTGCATTGATGAGTCTAAATGTTTCTGACTTTGGTTACAATGGCTGTGGCAGCGACAGTGTAGCTAAATAATGTACTTTTACTTTTAGTATACCTTTTCAGGTTCACGCTCTTTTCTCTTACTGCTGTGATAGCTACAAGATGGCATTTAACTACTGCAGAGAAAAGGGCTAAACCATCTCCACCCTTCTTTTAAAATAAAGAGGTACCAGGCTTTCTGGTTTACGCGGGCTCTTGATAGCAATAAGAATACTTTGCAATTGCTGTGAATACATAAAAAACACTTATCTGGTCATCTGAGTAGGTTTGCAAAACACAAAATCTACTTCTCTGGTGATGATGAAGTGGTTTCTTGGCAGTGTGTTTTCCTTACACCTTTCAAGGTCAAGTTTAATTAAGAATTTCAGGTACTCTCAGTGAGTACTTTTTATTGCTTCAGTTTGGAAATATTTTGCTAGCTAGAATTTTCATACATTTATAGAAATGTTAATAATGGACATACCATGGAAATCTGATTTTTTTTTTTGCTTTTGAAAACTCATACATAAAATAGCTGAATGATTTATCATCAGTTATTTACTAGCTTTGTTATATTTAAAACTAAAAGAAATGCTTGCTATTTTCAGTCAATACTTTAGATCAGCTTTTCAGTCCTATGAGCATTAGTTGCATGGTATATATGTATTTGATGAATAGCCTTGTTTGACTTCTGGCACTACTTGCATGAGTAAAGTTTCTCGTGCTTGCATAGTTTCATTGTAAGAGGGACACAGAAATGTTGTTAATTTATAACAAGAGCATTGTAGAGATACCTGGTTAGCATGCAAGGAAAATACTTCTCCTCTAGATAAAGCCATAAGAAACAAGAAATCTTTTCAGTTAGAGATGGCCAATGACAAGAGTTTTAAGCAAATATTTTAATATAATCCTATTATAGAAATAGCCACGTTGATACTTGGTGATTTTCTAAAATGAAAGCAAAACTTTGGGACTGTAATCCACACTTTTACCTGTAATAAATCTTTGCAAAAAGGACTTAAAAGATGCTGTTACCTAAGTACCTTCATATTTTCTGTCAGAGAGGTTCAGAAAACCCCAGGTTTTTACTCCATTGGTATGAAGAATTCTGTTTTTACAGTTAGAGCTGGGAATGCAGATCACCCAGTGTTCACCACTGAATGCCTCCTAGGAGGTAGCAGTTGACAAATATACCACGATAAAAATTCAGAGGTGTTTGATCCACATGCATAAAAAGGCACATTTGAACATCTTGCTGTGATTTCCTCCCATTATAATACATAATATTCAGTTTCATGCCATTAATAAAGTTCTTCCCTAGATAAAACTATTGTGAACATACCAGGTATGATCCTTATCACAATGCCTCTTTTTACCACATCTGCAATATCAACAGATAAGACTAAATGTAGGTTACTTGTACCCAGTACAGATTCTTTTATGCTGCTAGGAAAGTGTGAAGAAGCTGATATAAATGATAATTCAAATCTAATGTAGTTTATTCTTTTATATTAGAGAAGTCTTTTGTGCAATAGAAAACGTTCTCTATGGACAGGAAAGTTTTATTATTAAATACACTCTATTTTGGTGCTAATTTATTATTTTTGACATCTTAATTATATCCTGTCCCATAAAGTGGTGATTGGTAGTGTCAAGATTCCTAATCTTTATCCATGAAATACGTTTTCCTATTTTTTTCACCCCTCAATTTGATTTTTGTGTAAAACTCACTCATGCAGTCAGAGACAGAATTGCAGAGAGGAGGGTCCCATCTCTTCTCTTCATCCCTTCCCTCTGCCAGGATGAGCAGAGCAGAGGAATACAGTGGAAGCCTTAAAAAATGACTCAGCCTCCAAATGAGTTAGTGGGAACAGACAGAAACAGCGCCCTGCCCTCTTTTCAGTGGCATAGGGAATGAAAGACTGTGTATGAAGTAATAAGGAATTCTGTACAAGAGGAAGTGCTATTAGGTGCTATTTCAGCCATGTCTGGAATCCTGCTTTATGCCCCAGTGAAGAGTCCTTTACATCCATGAAAATGTTTTTCAGAATAAGGGGAGGACAATAAACCCAAGCTTATTAGTTTCTAAAAGGCTCCATCCCAAAGCAAAGAGATTTTTAAAGAATTTGGCTTGTTCCTATGAAAAACTGTTCTACTGAAGTTTTGCAGATCAAATGTACCAGTCTACAGCTGTACAAATTCTCTTTCACAGAGTATGAATGCTGCAATTTGCTAATGTACATTTTGCTTTTCATAATATTCACAAAACCAGTTTGCGGTTCAGAACATTCACAAAGCTGCCATTTTTAAACTTTGCTTCTGAACACATGGCATGGTTTTCCCACTTTTAAAAGCAGGGGTGGGTGTTTTTTTTGTTGTTTTTTTTTTTTTTTTTTTTTTTTTTTTTTTTTTTTTT